TTTTCTCTGGTCTGTGGTAACTATTTGAGTACAAAAACTGTACTGTTTATGAGCAAAATTGACATTCGAGAATTATTGTTATAGCCCTTGTCTCTATTGTTGAGGAACAGTTTTATTTAATGCTTACTGCATGTTGAATTCTTTACTTAAGGGAGGGTTAATCCTATGATTACAAAATAAACACAGTATGTAAAGATTGAAACGAAAGAAGGGTAGAGTGGGAAGCATCACTATGCTCCTAAATCTGTTTATATGAAATACATGTGATTTGTTCACTTTGTATAAATAAAAAAGTAAGAAAACTTGCTTAGCTTGAATGAAGGTATTTTTGAATCTTTCAGAAGTGTTTACAGTTAGCTCTATCTGAATCTGAAATGAGCTAATTTTAGCAATTTTTCACAGATGAGAGAAAAACCTTCAGTGACATGGAAATATGGCAAGCAAAAAAGAATGGGTATTCTTGGGCTTCAGATTTGTAATGCAGAAGCACCATTTGCTCAAGTTCCTATTCTGAATGCATCATGTATGTGACAAGTAACATACTGCTCCAAGTATGATGGATTTTTAAGTAAGTAATTTCTAAGGGTTATCTCATGAGAAAAGTGACAGTCATCACTTTAGCAAATGGGAATAATGCACTACCAAACTCTTGGACACTGCATTCTCTACAATTTTAGATACAGTGATGTTAAAACTAGAATCAAACAGCAGTGATATGTCAGAATGAAATCAAGCACTCAAAGTCTTAAACACAAAAGGGTGTAGAAGTCACACTGGCTTCAACCAAAGTTACTCAAGAAGAAGGATGATGGTGTTGGGAAAGTGCAAAGTGATAAATAACAAGAGCTGGTTATTCATTTTCATAGAAATTACCATTTTTTACTGTATTCCCATAGATATGTAGGTGGGTACAGATGCAGACAGGCAAGGAGATTATAGAGAATATGGTTTTTATATTGTAGAGATTTTATTTAGGGATCACAGAATAAAACACTTCAGTATATAATGTATATACCACCCTCATGTCAATGGGGCCTACTTAATCCCAGCTGTTGAGCTGTATTCAGCTCAGCCCAGCCATTATCAGTCAGTACACCACTGTGCCCTGGAATACAGTTCCAAGAGACCCTCATGGCAACTTTACCCACCTGGAAGGTCACTGACCACCTCCAAATTAAGGAGGAGACACAAACTCATCAAATACACTTAAAAAAAAAAGGCAAAACAAATAGCACCACATTCAGGCCACCTTTCCAGGTCTTCTATTGAACACATATTGTAGAGGACACTGCCTAAGCGCTTCTCAGGGGAGCACACTCCCCTGAAATTAAGAGGTATGGTGGCAGTCCTGTCTTTGGCACCAGCAGGCCAGGGATAGGCACACCTACTACAAAGGAATGCGCCACAGAGGCAGCAGGGGCTAAAGGGCTTTAATTGATGCCTGGTGTTTTTGGAAACTTGTGTACTTTTGTTAGCTTTTGAATGGATCTATCTGTAAAGATATATGCCACCATTCTGTCCCTGTCATGGATCACCATACGGGATTCCTTTGCCACATTCCCACCATAAAGTAATGTACAACTGTGCCTACATGCTTACCAGCTTGTAGACTTGCTGGTACCCTCTAATGAAAAGTGCTGGCTGTGAGCTATCCAGAGGCACACTCTCCATATGGAGGCTCCTGTGGTCCGTCTCATTTGAAAATCCCCAGAGGATATTATACCTGTGCTCAATGGCCTGAGGTTATTGCATTCATTCTGAAGACATAAGAATATTTCATTCATAGTTTTTGGAACTTTTCCATCACTTTGATCCCTTAGTCTGGGCAATACTGGTCATCTACATTTAAAAAGCAAGACAGCGAGGGTCATTTGTACTATCAGTTATGCCAGCTAAGATATCCAAACCCCGTATCAGTGTTCCTGGGTTTGATACCAATTGTGGTTCCTGACTCCAGCTTCCTCTATGACAGAAGGTGATAACTCAAGTAATGGGGCTTCTGCCACCCACATAGAAGACCTAGGTGGAGTTATCAGCTCCCAGCTTTTGGCCCACAGAACCCCAGCCATTGCAGGCATTTGGAAAGTGAACCAGCAGATGGGCACATATCCTCTGTACCTCTGTCTCCCCCTGCCCTGCGTTTTAAATAAATTACTTCTCAAAAGGAAGAAGTAGAGTTAATGTTATGAGTATAAAGTTAACTAAAAATAAATCTTTGTTAAAAAAAAAAGAATGGGAAGAGGAGATGGAGGAGGAAGAAGGGTTGAAGCATGTGCAGTAGGGAGGGAAAAGTATCACTCTGTTCCTGTGTCTGTATACATGAAATACACACAATTTTTATACCTTCAATAAAATCTAATATTATTCTAAAAGCTTATAAAATATAGATAATTTAGAAGTATAAATATGATTCATAAAATGTACAAATATGGGTACTATACAAAAGTAATAACTGGCAAATCAACTTTTTAACTGCAAATGAAAATAGATTGAAATAGGAAGACAAATAAAGCTATTTTGCTTAAAGAACAATCAACAATCAGGCCAATTCATTATTCTTCCTTAGGCAGTCATGAATTATAGAACCTGGGGTACATGTCTCATTTTTGTTCTTTTATGGATAAAATAGGTCTGAATTTAAAACTGATTAACTCAATGAATAATTAATTTCCAGGCAACGCCATAAAGAGCTTCCAGGAAGACACATGACATAATATACTTTGTCTTTGTAAGAGATTTATTTATTTGAAAGGCAGAGTTAGAGGTGATGTGGGGAGAGACAGGAGTATTGTTCATCCACTGGTTCACTTCCAAATGGATTCAATGGCTAGGGGCTAAGGATGGGCCAGGCCAAAGCCAGCAGCCAGGAACTTTAGGGACTCCCAAATAGGTGCAGAGGCCCAAGTGAATGGTCCATCCTCTGCTGCTTTCCCAGGCACATAAGCAGGGAGCTGGATCAGAAGTGGAGCATCTGGCACTACTTCAGCTGGCACCCAGATGGGATGCAGGCACTGCAGAGTGGCTTAACCCACTGCACCGCAGCACTAACCACTAAACTTTGCTTTTAAATCTACTTTTAAATAATTCTTTCCATCCAAAGTGATTCAAAGTACCCTCAATGAAACATAAGTTTGGATAAATGGCGTATGTCTTATGACTCTCAGGGATCTTTTCAAGAAAACGGAAGTCTAGGGGCCAGTGTTGTACAATAGTGGGTTAAGCCACTGCCTATACTGCTGGCATTCTATAGAAACATTGTTTCAAGCATTGGCTGCTTTGCTTCTGATGCAGCTCCCGGCTAATGTACCAGGGAAAGCTGAAGATGCCCTAAAATCTGGGGTCACTGTCTCCCACATCAGAGACCTGGATGGAGTTTCTGGCCCCTGTTTTCAGCACTAACATTGCAAGCATTTGGGGAATGAGCCAGCAGATGTAAAATCTCCATTTCTCCCTCTCTAAATCTGCTTTTCAAAAAAGTAAATAAATCTTAAAATAGAAGTCTGTTAGCAAAAGGATGACTTAGTAACCCAATACTTTACTGTCTGCAAGTCACTCTGACACAGTTACCTTATCCAACCATCAGAGCAGCACTCTCAGGTTATCATTAGGAGGAGCAAGGGGTGCATGCTCGGAATATGAAGTGCTCTGGCTTAAAGTCTGGCGTACATTATCTCTTTCTAATATGCAGAAATGTGTTATTTTGCTGATAAAAGCAAATATGGAAATGTGTCGGTAAGAATACAAATTCAGTATTTCAGAGGTCCTAAGATGTTATTTTTTGGCTTTTGTTAAAGATTTACAGAGAAATTACAGGGGCTTGCACTGTGGCATAGTGGGTCAAGATGCTGCCTGTGGTGCTAGCATCCCATATGGGTGCAGGTTCAACTGCTGACGGCTCCAGTTCTGGTCCATCTTTCTGCTAGTGTGTGTGGGAAAGTACAGAGGATTGTTCAAGTGCTTGGGGTCCCACAGCGAGGTGGAAGGCCCAGAAGAAGATCCTGGCTTCGGCCTGGCTCAGTCTGACTATTGTGGCTATTTGGGGATTGAAACAGAGGATCAAAGAACTCTCTGTAACACTTTCAAATAAATAAGTCTTAGGCAATTTTTGTCTCTAGGTTATTTTACCATAGAAACAATGGATTTGGGATGCCAATCCATTTGTTTCTTCTACCTCCAAACATGTAAGTATACACACACACACTGAGACATGACCTTAGAATACATGACATATCTTGACAGGTATGCTAAAATTTGGAATAGTATAAAAACTGAGCTTAACAAAATTAACAGGGTTTCTTTAATAGTGTGCTTTACTCAACAATCAAATCACTATCATGTTTACCAGCTAAAAACACATTCTGCCAGTTAGGCATGTTTAAAAGATGAGTAAATTACAGATATATTTATAATGCCTAACATCTGAAATTTATCATTGAATACAGATTGTGATTACTGTGTAAAATAAACAGCAACCATGGCATATTTTCTGATGCATATTTAGAAGACTGTATAGTCTTTCTTGGGAAAATGTAATTAATGATAATTTTATTGTGGCCAGCACTGTGTGGCAAAGTATGTTAAGCCTCTTACTGAGGCGCTGGCATCCCATAGGGGCACCGGTTCATGTCCTGGCTGCTTTTTCAATTGAGATCTCTGCTTAGGACCTGGAAACACAGTGGATGATAGCCCAATTGCTTCAGCCCCTGCACCCATGTGGGAGACCCAGAAGAGACTCCTGGCTTTGGATCAGCTCAGGTCCAGCCATGGTGCCCATTCTGCGAGTGAACAAGTGGATGAAAGATATCTGTCTTTCTGTCTGTCTATAACTCTACCTCTCAAATAAATAAATCTTAAAAGATATTTTTATTTTGGTGTACAATTTTTTTAAATACATAGATTTGGAGCCAGCACCATGGTGCAGTAGGTTAATCCTTCTCCTGTGGTGCCGGCATTCCATATGGGCGCTGGTTCTAGTCCCAACTGCTTCTCTTCCCATCCAGCTCTCTGCTATGGCCTGGGAAAGCCTTGATCACTTGGACTAGTGAGATGGCATTGGATGTACCTTGGACCCCTGCACCCACGTGGGAAGATCTGGAAGAAGCTCTTGGCTTCAAATTGGTGCAGCTCTGGGCATTTCAGCCAATTAGTGAGTGAAGCAGTAGATTGAAGACCTCCCTCTCTCTCTCCCTCTCCCTCTCCCTCTCCCTTGTGTAACTCTTTCAAATAAATAAATCTTTTAAAAAATTGAAAAATATGATGCCAAAGTGTCCTGTCCTCCTTTAATAGGTAAGGTTTCTTTTTTTTAAAAAATTTATTTGAAAGGCAGATTTACAGAGTGGCAGAAAGTGAGACCTAGAGGAGAGGACTTCCATATGTCGGTTCACTCCCCAAATTGCTGCAATGGCCAGAACTGCGCTAATATGAAGTTAGTTTTACTTGTTGAATATTATGGTTCATGGTGCATTAAGATAATAGAGTGGATTGAAATTATATTTTTTCAAAAGCTTGAAGGTGAGGGATTGAGGGAGAGAGAGATGGAGGGGTAATATGGTTATCATCTTAGAGCTGAATTTAATACATGAAATTTGTTCTCTTACATGAAAATATCTTCAAAAGAAATATTTGAAATCTAACATGAAAACTAATTGCAGAACCAAAGTAGCAGTTTGCATAATCCAAGAAAATCATACATAGATTTTTCATATTGCACTTTCAATGAACAATTTAAAGACCCTGATACACAGATGCATATAAACAATGTGATATACAATACATATTATACATACATATATGCATACAGCTGTATATGTGTACAAATATACCTCATGTAAATATCAATATGTCTTGTATCAAGAGATATAATGGGATTGAGACTTTTTGTGGTAATTTGCATTTTTATTAAATACTATATCATTGTCACTGTTAAAGCAAGTGGTAGGATAACTTTTAATGAATTTGACACAAACTTTGTTGTGCTAATGAACCGGGACTGTGAAAAAAACCTGAGGTGTGGGGGAGGAATAATGCCGTGGCTGGGACTTTGAGCAGTCTCAGTGATACACACCAAAAGCTCAGGGGTTCCTGGTTAACTGGTGAGAAACACTGCTGTGGAATCTGAACTTACACTGCACAGATCCTTTAGTGGTCCTTGGGACAGAGAAGAAGATTTTATACCCACTGGAGCTCATGCTCAGGCACTGGTTTCCATTGAGAAGAGCTCAGCTGAGCAGAATATACTTCCCTTCTGATTAAAGGAAAAAGAGATTTACCAGACCAAACCTGAGTGTGTCACCTTAGGCAAACCCTTAACCCTGGAAAAATGAACAGAGATCTCTGGCCACAACTACTAGAAGCCTCTAGAGATTCACTGAAAACAGACATTCCACTTATCTATGATAAAAGTTGCCACAGTGGGGAAAAAGAAGAAGAAGAAGAAACCAATAGGTATCTCCACAAATGCTGAACAAATGCAACAATCCAAGAAATGAGAATAAGGAAGACAACATGATGCTCCCAAAAGAACATGACAATTCAATACTAGATTATGAAGATGAAGAGATAGAAGAAATGCAAGAAATTCAAGGAACTCAAAAAACAGATCCCAAGATTACATAAAAGTAATCAAAAGTGAATGCAAGAACTACTGAAATCCATGTAGGACATGAAAGAAAATCTGTACCATGAAATTCAGAACCTAAAGAGGAATCAAAATGAAATGAAGAATTCGATAGAACAAATTAAAATGCAGAGACAGAAGAGAGAATATCGGTCTTAGAAGACAAATCACAGGAAAGTATACAGTGAAATCAAAGGCAAGAAGAAGAAATTAGAAAACTGAAAACGACTGTTGGAAATCTAGAGGATAATATATATATATATATAAAAAAACAATGTTCGGGTTCTAGGAGTTCCTGAAGGCATGGAGAGAGAGAAAGGATCAGAGTGCCTATTTTGTGAAAAACTAGTAGGAAACTTCCTGGGTTTGGAGAAAGATAGGAGTGTCCAAGTACAGGAAGCACACAGAGCTGCCAATAGACATGACCAGAAAAGATCCTTGCCATGACACATTGTAATCAAACTCACCACAGAGAAGCATAAAGAGAAGATACTAAAATGTGCAAGAGAGAAATGCCAGATTACTTTCAGAGGATCTCCAATTGGACTCACAGCAGACTTCTCAACAGAAACCATGCAGAGTAGGAGGGAATGGTGAGATATAGCCCAAGTACTAAGAGAAAAAAACTCATCCCTTAATATTATACCCTGCAAAGCTCTCATTTGTGAATGAAGGTGAAATAAAGACCTTTCATAGCAAACAGAAATGGAAAGAATTTGTCACCACTCGTCCAGCCCTGCAAAAGATACTTAAAGATTTGTTACACACAGAAACACAGAAACACGGTCATCAATATGAAAGAAAGTAAAGGGAGAAAATCTCTCAGTAAAAGATCACAGAAAGTTCAAAATATAAATTAGGAATATCTTTGGAAAGATGGCAGGGCAAAATGATTACTTATCAATAGTTACATTGAATGTAAATGGCCTCAACTCTCCAGTTAAAAGGCAGACTGGCTGAATGGATAAAAAAAAACCTATCTATTTGCTGCCTACAAGAAACACATCTCACCAACAAAGATGCACACAGACTGAAAGTGAAAGGATGGAAAGAAAAGGTCAACAGAAACCAAAAAAGAGCTGGCTTAGCCATCTTAATGTCAGACAAAGTAGACCTTAACACAAAAACTGTTAAAAGAGACAAAGAAGGGCACTATGGTATGAACAAGATCAATTCAAAAGGAGGATGTATCAATTATCAATGTATATGCATTTAATTACAGGGCACCTGGCTATTTAAAAGAAATGTTAAGGAACTTAAAGGGAGACTTAGACTCCAATACAGTAGTATTGGGCAACTTCAATACTCCACTTTCATCAGTGGACAAATCAACCCAGCAGGAAATCAAAAAGGGAACAGCAGATTAAATCAACATTATATTCCAAATGGATCTAACAAATATCTACAGAACTTGTCATCCTACAATTGCAGAATACACATTCTTCTCTGCAGTGCATGGAACTTTCTCTAGGATTGACCACATACTAGGCCATAAAGCAAGTCTCAGTGGATTCAAAGAAATCAAAATCATGGCCGGCACCATGGCTCACTTGGCTAATCCTCTGCCTGTGGCACCAGCACCCCAGGTTCTAGTCCTGGCTGGGGCGCTGGATTCTGTCCTGGTTGCTCCTCTTCCAGGCCAGCTCTCTGCTGTGGCCCAGGAAGGTAGTGGAGGATGGCCCAAGTGCTTGGGCCCTGCACTGCATGGGAGACCAGGAGGAAGCACCTGGCTCCTGGCTTTGGATCAGTGCAGTGCACCGGCCATAGTGGCCATTTGGGGGTGAACCAACGGAAGGAAGACTTTTCTCTCTGTCTGTCTCTCTCTCTCACTAACTCTACCTGTCCAAAAAAAAAGAAAAGAAAAGAAATCAAAATCATACCATGCATATTCTCAAACCACAATGGAATGAAGCCAGAAATCAGTAACTCAGGATTCTCTAGAGCATATGCAAATACATGGAAACTGAACAACATGCTCCTGAATGAACATTGGGTCATAGAAGAAATCAAAAGAGAAATCAAAAAATTTCTGGAACCAAGTGAAGTTAAAACACAACATATGAAAACATCAAAAGCAGCGGTAAGAGGAAAGTTTATAGCAATAGGTGCCTACATCAAGAAATTAGAAAAGTACCTAATAAGGAGCTATTAATGCATCTCAAGGATCTAGAAAAACTAGAGCAAACCAAACCAAAAACTAATAGGAGAAAAGAAATAATTAAAATTGGAGAATAAATCAACAAAACTGAGTCCAAAAAATTATAAAAGATCAGCAAAAGAAGAGCTGGTTTTTTGAAAAAAAAATTGCCACAACTAATGCAACTAATGGCCGAACTAATGAAAAAAGGAGAGAGGTGACCAAAATCAATAAAATTAGAGATGAAACAGGAAATGTAACATCAGACACTACAGAAATCAAAAGAATCATCAGAAATTACCATAAAGAATTGTATGCCAGTAAACTGGGGAATCTAGCAGAAATGTATAGATTCCTGAACATATACAACCTACCTAAATTGAGCCATGAAGACATAGAAAACCTAAACAGACCCATAACCAGGACAGAAATTCAATCATTAATAAAGGCCTTCCCCAGAAAGAAAAGCCCAAGACTGAATGGATTCACTCCTGAATTCTATCAGGCTTTTAAAGAAGAAAAACTCTAATTCTTCTCAAGCTATTCAAAACAAGTGAAAGAGACAGAATCCTCCCAAATACTTTCTACAAAGCCAGCATCACCTTAATTCCTAAATCTGAAAAAGGTGCAGCAGAGAAAAAGAATTACATACCAATTTCCCTGATGAACATAGACACAAAAATCATCAACAAAATCATAGCTGGTAGAATCCAACAACGCGTAATAACAGATCATCCACTCAGACAAAGTGAGATTTATCCGTGTTATGCAGGAGTGGTTCTACATTCGGAAATCAATGTGATACACCACATCGACAGACTTCTGAACAAAAATCATATGATTATCTCAATAGGTTATCTCAATCAATAGATTATCTCAAAGAAAGCATTTGATAAAATACTACACACATTATATGATGAAAACTCAAAGCAAATTGGGTATAGGTATGAATATAGGTATGAACATTCTTCAACACAGTCAAGGCAATTTATGACAAACCCATGGCCAGCATCATATTGAATGGGGAAAAGTTGGAAGCATTCCTACTCATATTTGGTACCAGCCAGAGATGCCTACTCTCACCAATGCTATTCAATATGGTACTGGAAGTTTTAGCCAGAACCATTAGGCAAGAAAAAAAAATCAAAGGGATATAAATTGAGAAGGCAGAAGTTAAACTATCCTTATTTGCAGACTACATGATTCTTTATATAGGGGATCCAAAACTCCACTGAGAGACTATTGGATCTCATAAAAGAGTTGGGTAAAGTAGCAGGATATAAAATCAACACACAAACAGTTCGGCACATGCTTACCCGGACTTACCCCTACTGGTAGAGCGAGATACGTGCCAAGGGGTTCCAATTCAGTCCCATCAAGGTGGCACATACCAATGCTCTCTTACTTGTTAAAGTGATCAGTTTACGTTCATAATTGATCATAATGAAAGGATTAAGTGTCAAAGGGATTACATAAATAAGACCAGTGTCTGCAAATAATTGCTAGAATTAAAAAGGAGAGAATGATCCTACATGGGAAGCAGGATACACAGCAGACTCATAAAATGGCAAAAGCTGTAAACAGCACTCTGGCCTCAGAATCAGCCCTTAAGGCATTCGGATCTGGCTAAAAACCCATGAGAGTTTTGCAGGCATGGAAAGCCAAGACACTGTGGCAAAAAAAAAAAAATATGACCTAAATGAAAGATCTCTGTGAGTGAGATCCCAGTGGAAATAACGGGCCATCAAAGAAGGAGGTACCTTTCTCTTAAGGGATGAGAGAACTTCAGCTTTGAATATGGTCTTGTCTAAATAAGATCAGAGTTGGCGAACTCAAGAGGCTTCCATAGCTTTGGCAGCTCATGACAAGAGCCTCGAGTGATTACTGACACCATAAATAAGAATGTCAACTGTTAAATCAACCATGGGAATCACTGTGCACCTGCACTCCATATAGGGCCTCTGCCCTTAATGCGTTGTACTATGAGAATTAATGGTAAAACCAATATTCAAACAGTATTCTATACTTTGTGTGTCTTTGTAGGTGCAGTCTGTTGAAATGTTTTCTTAGTATATACTAAGTTGATCTTCTGTATATAAAGATAATTGAAAATGAATCATGATGGGCATGCCAGTGCGGGAAGGGGAGTGGATGTGACACAGACACCAGAGGGGAGAGGAGGGTTGCCCAGGCCTCCAAGTACACACATCGGCGCTGGAAGGGGAGGTGAGCTCAGTAACTGGAGACATTGTCAGGGAAACGGCGGACAGAATTTAGAGGGAAGCGGGTTTTGAAGCAGGCAAGTTCACCAGACTGACTAGGGAGAGAAGGAAAAAAAAAAAAGGTGGGGGGGTACTGGTACAGACAAGTTTCTCTCTCTGCCAACCTTGCAAAGGCGAGCAAGAGACAAAGAGCAAGCCCCACTTGGGATATACATAATAAAAGGGGAGAGCTAAGGCTATAATTCAGTAGCCTAGGCAACTCAGTGGGAGTCTGCAGGAGAAACGGAGCCTGCACAGACTCTTTGGGTGGAAGCCAGAGATCAGAAGCTAAATACCATCAATTCTGCTCAGCTGTGCTGAATAAAAAATAAAATAAAATAAAATAAAATAAAATAAAATAAAATAAATAAATAGAGATTTACCACTTATAACCTGAGGGTGTCACCTTTGCGCACCCGTAACCCCAAAGAACCAAGCAGAGCTCTCAGGCCACACCCATCTCAAGCCTCCAAGGCTCCTCCAACAGCAGGCAGTCCACTTAACACACACATAGTATAAACAAAACAAAACAAAACCAAAAAAAAAAACAAAAAAACTCACAGTGCAGGAAGAAGAATTAACTATGCCAAGCAACAAACACAAAAATCGAGGGAACAAGATCAACGCTGACTCTATGACAACTCCAAATAAACAAAACACCCCAAGCCAAGATTATGAAGATGATGAGATAGAAGAAATGCAAGATACAGATTTCAAAAAATTTATGATAAGAACATTTAGAGGTTTTCAAAAGCAAATTCTTGAACTACAGAAATCCTTATTGGACAGGATTGAAAATCTCTCTCGTGAAAATGAAATTTTAAGGAAGAATCAAAATGAAACGCAGAAACTAGTAGAACAGGAAAGTGTGATAGTGAAGAGAAATCAAAATGAAATGAAGAGCTCAATAGATCGAATGACAAACACATTAGAGAGCCTTAAAAACAGAATGGGTGAAGCAGAAGAGAGAATATCGGACTTAGAAGATAGAACACAGGAAAACATACAGTCAAACCAAAGAAAAGAAGAGGAAATTAGAAATCTAAAAAATATTGTTGGGAATCTTCAGGATACTATTAAAAAACCCAACATTTGGGTTCTAGGAGTTCCTGAAGGCATGGAGAGAGAGAAAGGACTAGAAGGCCTTTTTAGTGAGATACTAGCAGAGAACTTTCCGGGTTTGGAGAAGGACAGAGAAATCCTAGTACAGGAAGCTCATAGAACCCCCAGTAAACATGACCAAAAGAGATCCTCACCATGACACGTTGTAATTAAACTCTCCACAGTGAAACATAAAGAAAAGATCCTAAAATGTGCAAGAGAGTAATGTCAGATTACTCTCAGAGGATCTCCAATTAGACTCACAGCAGACTTCTCATCAGAAACACTACAGGCTAAAAGGGAATGGTGAGACATAGCACAGGTGCTAAGAGAGAAAATTGCCAGCCCAGAATATTATATCCTGATAAGCTCTCATTTGTGAATGAAGGTGAAATAAAAACCTTTCCTAGCAAACAGAAATGAAAGACTTTGCGGCCACTCATCCGGCCCTGCAAAAGATACTTAAAGATGTGCTACACTCAGAAACACAGAAACATGGCCATCAATATGAAAGAAGGTAAAGGAAGAACACCTACCAGTAAAAGAGCATGGGAAGTTCAAAGCATATACTAGAAAATATCTCCAGGAAAATGGCAGGCCAAAGTCACTATGTATGAATAGTCACATTAAACATTAATGGACTTAACTCTTCAGATAAAAGACACCAATTGGCTGATTGGCTCAAGGAACAAACCCCAACTATTTGTTGCCTACAAGAAACACATGCAGTGCATGGAACCTTCTCTAGGAATGATCACATGCTAGGCCATAAAGCAAGTCTCAGCAAATTTAAAAGAATTAGAATCATACCATGCAGCTTCTCAGACCACAGCGGAATGAAGCTGGAAATTAGCAACTCAGGAAACCCCAGAAAGTATGCAAACACATGGAGACTGAACAACATGCTCCTGAATGAACACTGTGTCATTCAAGAAATCAAAAGAGAAATCAGAAACTTTCTGGAAGTAAATGAGGATAACAACACAACATATCAAAACTTATGGGATACGGCAAAAGCAGTATTGAGAGGCAAGTTTATAGCAATAGGGGCCTATATCAAGAAATTGGAAAGGTACCAAATAAATGAGCTTTCAGCACATTTCAAGGACCTAGAAAAACTGCAGCAAACCAGACCCAAATCTAGTAGGAGAAGAGAAATAATTAAAATCAGAGAAGAAATCAACAGGATTGAATCAAAAAAAAATTACAAAAAATCAGCCAAGTGAAGAAATGGTTTTTTGAAAAAATAAACAAAATTGACACCCCATTGGCCCAACTAACTAAAAAAGGAAGAGAAAAGACCCAAATCAATAAAATCAGAGATGAAAAAGGAAATGTAACAACAGACACCACAGAAATAAAAAGAATCATCAGAAAATACTACAAGGACCTGTATGCCAGCAAACAGGAAAACCTATCAGAAATGGATAGATTCCTGGACACATGCAATCTACCAAAATTGAACCATGAAGACATAGAAAACCTAAATAGACCCATAACTGAAACAGAAATTGAAACAGTAATTAAGGCCCTCCCAACAAAGAAAAGCCCAGGACCAGATGGATTCACTGCTGAATTCTACCAGACATTTAAAGAAGAACTAATCCCATTTCTTCTCAAACTATTCAGAACAATCGAAAAAGAGGGAATCCTCCCAAATTCTTTCTATGAAGCCAGCATCACCTTAATCCCTAAGCCAGAGAAAGATGCAGCACTGAAAGAAAATTACAGACCAATATCCCTGATGAACATAGACGCAAAAATCCTCAATAAAATTCTGGCCAATAGAGTACAACTACACATCAGGAAAATCATCCACCCAGACCAAGTGGGATTCATCCCTGGTATGCAGGGATGGTTCCACATTTGCAAATCAATCAATGTGATTCACCACATTAACAGACTGTAAAAGAAAAACCATATGATTATCTCAATTGATGCAGAGAAAGCATTTGATAAAATTCAACACCCTTTCATGATGAAAACTCTAAGCAAATTGGGTATAGAAGGAACATTCCTCAATATAATCAAAGCAATTTATGAAAAACCCACAGCCAGCATCCTATTGAATGGGGAAAAGTTGGAAGCATTTCCACTGAAATCTGGCACCAGGCAGGGATGTCCACTCTCACCACTGCTATTTAACATAGTTCTGGAAGTTTTAGCCAGAGCCATCAGACAAGAAAAAGAAATCAAAGGAATACAAATCGAGAAGGAAGAAGTCAAACTATCCCTCTTTGCAGACGATATGATTCTGTACTTAGAGGATCCAAAGAACTCTACTAAGAGACTATTGGAACTCATAGAGGAGTTTGGCAAAGTGGCAGGATATAAAATCAATGCACAAAAATCAACAGCCTTTGTATACACAAGCAATGCCATGGCTGAGGAAGAACTGCTAAGATCAATCCCATTCACAATAGCTACAAAAACAATCAAATACCTTGGAATAAACTTAACCAAGGACGTTAAAGATCTCTACGATGAGAATTACAAAATCTTAAAGAAAGAAATAGAAGAGGATACCAAAAAATGGAAAAATCTTCCATGCTCATGGATTGGAAGAATCAACATCATCAAAATGTCCATTCTCCCAAAAGCAATTTATAGATTCAATACAATCCCAATCAAGATACCAAAGACATTCTTCTCAGATCTAGAAGAAATGATGCTGAAATTCATATGGAGGCACAAGAGACCTCGAATAGCTAAAGCAATCTTGTACAACAAAAACAAAGCCGGAGGCATCACAATACCAGATTTCAGGACATACTACAGGGCAGTTGTAATCAAAACAGCATGGTACTGGTACAGAAACAGATGGATAGACCAATGGAACAGAACTGAAACACCAGAAATCAACCCAAACATCTACAGCCAACTTATATTTGATAAGGATCTAAAACCAATTCCTGGAGCAAGGACAGTCTATTCAATAAATGGTGCTGGGAAAACTGGATTTCCACATGCAGAAGCATGAAGCAAGACCACTACCTTTCACCTTACATAAAAATTCACTCAACATGGATCAAAGACTTAAATCTATGACCTGACACCATGAAATTATTAGAGAGCATTGGAAAAACCCTGCAAGATATAGGTACCGGCAATGACTTCTTGGAAAATACCCCAGAAGCACAGGGAGTCAAAGCCAAAGTTAACATTTGAATTGCATCAAATTGAGAAGTTTCTGTACTGCAAAAGAAACAGTCAGGAAAGTGAAGGGAGAACCAACAGAATGGGAAAAAATATTTCCACACTATGCAACAGATAAAGGGTTAATAACCAGAATCTACAAAGAGATCAAGAAACTCCACAAAAACAAAACCAACAACCCACTTAAGAGATGGGCCAAGGACCTCAATAGACATTTTTCAAAAGAGGAAATCCAAAGGGCCAACAGGCACATGAAAAAATGTTCAAGATCACTAGCAATTAGGGAAATGCAAATCAAAACCACAATGAGGTTTCACCTCACCCTGGTTAGAATGGCTCACATACAGAAATCTACCAACAACAGATGCTGGCGAGGATGTGGGGAAAAAGGGACACTAACCCACTGTTGGTGGGAATGCAAACTGGTCAAGCCACTATGGAAGTCAGTCTGGAGATTCCTCAGAAACCTGAAGATAACCCTACCATTCAACCCAGCCATCCCACTGCTTGGAATTTACCCAAAGGAATTTAAATTGGCAAACAAAAAAGCGGTCTGCACGCTAACATTTATTGCAGCTCAATTCACAATAGCTAAGACCTGGAACCAACCTAAATGCCCATCAACGGTAGACTTGATAAAGAAATCATGGGATATGTACTCTTTAGAATACTATACCACAGTAAGAAACAATGAAATCTGGTCATTTGCAACAAAATGAGGAATCTGGAACACATCATGCTGAGTGAAATAAGCCAGTCCCAAAGGGACAAATATCCTATGTTCTCCCTGATCGGTGACAATTGACTGAACACCAAAAAGGAAACCTGTTGAAGTGAAATGGACACTATGAGAAATGGTGACTTGATCAGCATAGCCCTGTTAATGAACAACTTAATACATTATCCCTCTTAGTATTTTTTTTGTTTGTTCTACTTAATATGACTGGTTTAATTCTGTAATTAATACACAGTTATTCTTAAGTGTTGAAATTTAACTGAAATGTGATTCCTGTTAAACATAAGAGTGGGAATAAGAGAGGGAAGAGATGTACAATTTGGGACATGCT